TGAACCAAGGCCTCATTCTTTTTATAAAAGTTTTCAAAATTATCATTGCTTTTTATAGAAACATATAAGCTTTTCCGGAATTATTGAGCAGGAACTTTTCTGATTTCTTTATCAGAGCAGCCCTTTCTACTTAGTGCATTGGCAATTGATGATGAGTTGGGCATTGCTTTGATCACTAAACAATACCGTTTGTTTTACCATGTCCATGATTTCGCAATGGATCTTTTTATTCTTTTGGGATAATCTCCAGGAGCTGATATTTAATTTCTTCTTGTTGAGAAATGATACCAATGTTATTTTCGCGTTACATATTTGCTGCTAATCCAACCCCTTAACTGCTGATCTTTAAAATCGAAACTGACAGGATGATCCTTGCCAACCAGGAACGTAGGATCTACTTCGATAAATAGCCAGGATCTGTCCCGCTGAATGAGTTCAGATAGAATATTGATTTTTGAACCCATTTTTATCTGGGCAATAATATTTGTGCCTTCGGTAATTCCGAAAGTGAACGTCTCTTTTTCAGCTCCTTTGAGCAGATCAGTATTGGGAGAGAATCTTAAATTATAGTTGTTGGTATTAATGACCGCAGGTTCTCGTTGTTTGCTGTAAAATGGAGGGCTAAGCATACTAGCTCCGGTATATGCTCCATTTGTTAACACATAGTTGTCCTTAATCAGCGCTCGGTTTGTATCAAATTCAACGGACCTGATCGATACATAGGGGCTTTCCCACAACAATGGCCTAGTATTAAAGTTAGTATCTTTCTGTTGTTGATGTTAAATACCCGGTAACTCCAGCACTGTTCCGCAATCTGTTCTTTTAATATGCCGTTGATGTTTAGATATACTTTTATGCATTTAGGTTCTCCGCATTGATATAAGTAGATGTAATCATCGATCTGGTCATTATTAAGATCAATGATTTGCTTGTCGAATTTATGTTCCATAGCATTGGCCTTAATGTCATTTTCAATCTTTTGTAACTGATCAGTTTGTGCCTGACTTTGTATATAAAAGAATAGAAACAGGACGATGAATAGTTTTCGCATGAGTAAAGATTTATGAATGTTAGATTTTCGGAAGGCTAAGGGGCAGGTGATCAGATTAAAATTAGAAATTGCAATTAGACGATGGGTTTAAACCCTGCTTATCTTTTTTCAGAACAGGCATCCCTGTAGAAAAAGTAACGATCCATATGCTGTCATAATCATTTGTGCCCCATTTTTGGGTGACAGATTTTACACCTAGTGCATTCACCAGTTGCTGGATCTCCTTATGCTCCCAAACGATGATGACAGTACCTTTTTCTTTTAAGAGCGCTTTACTAATGTGTTTGTAATCCCCTTCTTCATAAGCCGAGTTTATACTTAAATTATATTTCACCGCAAAAGGAGTAATGGTTTGAAACATCCTGGCACGCCTGGTGTCTTTACCAAGGTTTAGCGCCGGAACATAAATATCAGATGGCTTGCCGAATTTCTTATATAATATTGATTGCGGGCAATTGTACGGAGCGGTTAAATCCTTTACAGGTGAGATTATTCCCATTTTCAGGACGCTCTGCATGTCGTATGAATACAAGTTTTAAATTTCGATCCTGGGACCTGGCAGTGATGCTGAACAAAACAAACGCGGAAAGGAATAGCCGGGTTAACAGCGAGGGTGCTTTCATGGTTTATCTAAAATAGAATATATGCTGCACTTGACAAAGTTTAATCCGGAATGAAGTCGTAAATATTATCGAAATCTCCAGCGAGCTTTAAAAACAGAATATTCTATTTGAATATGGACCAAGTTATGGGCTCTGTTGCTTAAGGGAAGCTCCCTGGTGCTGATATGCTTTATTAATTGTTAAATGTTTGTTTATTTTTATTTAATATGACGCTGGAAAGGAAGTACATTAATTCTTTTTTATTTCAGGAATAAGAAGAAAACGATATTGCCTGTTTCCTATGCCAGGGCTAATGAGATATGGATTTGGCTATTTTAGAGCAAATCCTGGCATTTA